TGAACTGAGCTTCCTTTAACCGACTTCAACCTATAAATTTACAAATTCGAAAAAAGATAACAAATCAAGCCGTAGAATTTGTGTGTGATAAAAGCACGATGAGGTTAAGCCAAACATCTTCGAAATTTTGCTTGATTCACAGCTATTTGCGTTTGTCACGGGGCATTTTGAAGCTAGATTCTAGAATCTTGCAAGTAATCATGTTAATGCATGAGCATGTTTTGCTGGACTGACTGAAGTCTGAAAGCAATTTTAAGGTTTTGTTGTTTTGTAACATATTGATGTTTTGCTACTCCTTACTTACCGTTAGTTTATTTTGAACAATGTTAATATAGGTTAAAAATTGTGAGCCCTCTAGCGGGCGGTTTCTGAATTTTCTATAACTGAGTTAGTTTTATATTAACAAATATGGTACAGTCAAGCGTAGTGATTTCCCGATTATGCGGACAGAAAAGAAAACTCGGGTCCCGCTACACCTAACGTACCCTAACTTAACTTTAAAATAAACTCGTTAAACTTAAACAACGTTAAACACTATTAACAACGTTAATAGTGCTTAATCAATTTACACGTTATTTAACGTTAAACAAGGTTAAACTGATAGCAGAAACCAAGTAGAACTAATTAGTATAATTGGAGTGTGGTATGTATTCAGACAACTGCAAATTACTACTCGTCAGTAAGCAGAAAACAAGTACTAACTAATCAAAATAAGGTGAAAGCAAACTCTGAATATATAAAAAATTATTTTTTAATTTCTTCCTTGTCTCGATTCTGGTTGGTTATTACAGTTTTTGTCAGCTTAATGACGAGTAAGAATACGCGGTTGTCTAAACACTGCTACGTAACCATTCTGTTTACACCATATTTAACGTCAAGTTAGATTGATCATTTAACCATTGAACTTGTTTCGTTTAACGTATCTACAATTAGCTTACCGTTAAATTAGGTTAAAACGTTTACAGAAACCAAGTTGAACCAAAGTATTTTGTCTAACTTGGCCAAACATAAATGAACGTCATCATGTATACTTGTTGTTCAACGTTAAACCACGTTAAGTTACGTGTATTAGCAAGTCCGATTTAAAGTTAATGCGAACCGAAACAAAAACCCCAAGATTAATGAAACTTTGTTACACATGATCTAACGTCATTTAACGTTCAACAAAAATAAATCAGGTAAAATTGCGTCACCTTCTTGCGGCCGTGACAAATATTGCGGCTGTGGGAAAAACGCAGCATCAAGGAAACTTTGTTACACGTGATTTAACGTTCACACAAGGTAAATCAGGAAAAACTGCCTCGCCCTCTTGCGGCAGTGGCAAAAATTCGTGTAGCGTCAACCTTCAGCATCATTTGATCGGGCGTGTTTCACATTTCAGTCAAACTCAATTCAATCTTCCAATCTCACCAAAACTCATCAAAACAAGACAGTGCCAGTGTCAGAACCGACAGGGACAGCATCTCAGCGAGAGTCACCGTGAAAACCTGGCTGACTCCAGACAAACTGTAAACACTTTCCACTTGTTCTTCTGTACCTTGTTCCGTGAGTCTTTAGCTGGTTACAGCTGTTTATTGTACCTTGTATTATGTAATTTTTACACGCTGTTTAACGTTAGCCAACGTTTTAAAAAGTTTCCATGATAGCTTATCTCTTAACCTTCGTAGACGCTTTTTAACTTTAAGCAAAGGAAAATAACGTTGAGTTAAATGTATTCGCCCCCTTCTTGATCAGAGAGGCGCAATATCCGCCACAAATTCTAGTTAAGAAACTACTGGAGACTGGTGCGGCAGTGATTTTGAAATGGAAGAGGAGTAATGACTACTGATCCTCAGACAAGAACTTTCCACAGCTGAGCTTGGTGGAAAAGTATCTGGAAGACGTCGCAACAAGGGACTCAACTAAAAGCGATCGAGGTGATGCTCTTGATGATGAAGGTGGTACTGCTGATTCTTCTACTGCTGATGAGGGTGGTCTGGGCGCCGGTTCTCCTCAGTATACTCAGATACAGTCTTTTCAGATCAATGATCCAACAATAAGGAAGCAAGTTCAGTCGACCATCAACAAGTCCGCGAACTGTTTTCTCCTAGACATTCCCGCTCTGACTTCTAATTAAGTGAGTTAACCTTAAAAAAATTTTTTTACTGTTGGTATATCTTGTTTAACGTTAAGTCGGGTGTTGTTCTGACCTCCAAAGTTTTTTTGTTTACCGTTGTTAATCCTTGCTTAACTTAATTCAGGTGTTAAAATGACCTCCAACATTTGTTTTACCATTGTTAAATCTTATTTGACGTTAAGTCAGGTGTTATGATGAGGCGTTTTTTTTGGTGTCCGACTTAATTTGTTACTCGTTTTAGATACAAACAGCTGCACCAATCTTGATTACTTCCGCAATCAGCGATGGCGGGCTGAATCTTTTCTCTGATGGGACGTCCTGGAAAACGAGTCCCGTAAAGGAGAGGGCCAAACAAGTCGAGGAAGTCGTGGTCCTGGACGATAAAGGAGCTCGCATTTCAAGTTCTGTTCAGGTGCAGCTGACTCCTCATCGGATATTATACCTCGTTAACGCTTTTTAACGTTAATTTATGTTTTAGCGCAAAGTGGATGTTGCAGTCAATACAAACTTGAACAGGCAAACACAAATAAAATCTATAGAGACGCTACTCCAAAAGTTTCTGGTACAGGATGCGGTCGCACTGGAACATCTAATCTGCATGAGTATGTCAAGTGCTTCAAATGGTGTCAGTGGCTCAAGTTCAATTATATGGTCACCTTTTTCCACACATAAATTTTGTCTACACCTTTCTTAACGTTATTTGATGTTAACCAGTAGTAACTTTTACAGAAACTTTTGTTTGAAATCACCCCCTTCCAACCAATGCCTGTTATTTGTTGTAAACATATAATATGTTTCAGAAAAGGGCTGCAGCTATTCGATCTGAGTAAGGGCCTGTGTCCGTCTTGGAAGACTGAGTCTTTCATGACGATAATGAGTGACCAGATCGCGTTGTGTTACTCAACAGAGGGGAAAAGGGGAAACTCTCTTTCGCAGATGATGGCATCCTATTCATCTTGGTTTAAACGCTGCAGTGTCATTGTAAGTTAGTTAACGTTCTTGTGTCTAGTGCAAAAATCGCATTTTAACGGAAGTTAACGTTAAGTTATGTTTTTGAGTTAATCAATGGTGTTTGTGTTTCAGCTTCCACGACGCATCCCCAAACCATGACACCAGTGCAACAGTGGAGGGTTTTAATCAGGCGTGGTTAGGTTACAGCAGAATTGAGCCATGTTCTTCGGCGCACCCTCAACCAACCATTCCAACAGTACCATATCCCCGACGCGGGTCGAGAGGTCGCTCATCATCTTCAAGCTCGCCAGGCAACCGCTCCGGTCAGTGCCGCCAAGATGCAATAGTGGTGCCTAATTCTGGTTTTGATGATGATGAAGAAATACCAGAATCTCAACAATGAACTCAACTGCCTCTGAAAATCTTCTCAAAACTCAAACTCATTTCGCATTTTCCTTTCGTAATCGTGCATTCCATGATTCATCTTTCTGATTTCGCAACGTTAAGCAACTATGAGCAGACCATCATATTTTAAATTAGTTCAACTTGTTGAATTGAGTTAAAACATGATGATCTGCTTATAATTGTTCAACGTTAAATTAGCTTAAACAAGGTTTACGGATCATTTTTGAAAAATTACTTTAATCTTAAGTAACGTTAAACGGATCTTCATATTTCAACCTAAGTTAAACTTCATTTAACCCAACTTAACGTTAAATCACGTGCAGAGTTTTGAAGACATTTAACCTAACTTAACGTTAAATTAGGTGTAGCGCTAAGAGCTTGTTTACATTTTGACCAAACTAACCTGGACCTAATGTTAAATTACCTTAGATTAGGTGTAGCGTTTGAAAACTAGTTCATTCAACTTAACCTCCTCATATAACCCAACTTAACGTTAAATAATGTTAATTTCGAACGTTAAATCACGTTTGGTCAGAGAGCAATTAGCGCCTATTTGGTCCTAACGTGTAACCGTTACAGGTAACGAAAGAGTGCTACACTTAATTTAACGTTAGAATTAAACTAAACCACTAGACGTCATTTAACGTTAAATAACGTGTAAAACTTCGAAGTTTTGCCCACAGGGACTCAAGTGAAATCCTGATGCAAGCTATAACCCGCAATCGAAAAGAATTATCGCAAGGAAAAGGAAAAGTTCCTTCAATCAATGAGCGTCTTGAACGGCGAATTTGTGGAAAAACTAGTTTTCGCAACTGAAATTTCTGCGCCGATATGAGTAAACGATAAATTAATAAATTTTTTCTCCAAACTCATCAAGTTGTTCTTTAAATTTTCCGCCCAAGTGACTAAAACCGCATTTTTGGCCCGTTTATCAAAATTTCGCTCTCGACGCAGGAAATTTGACCAAAATTGGGCCTTCTCAATGCTAGCTTTGGGATAGCTTAGTCCTTCGGGAGAAAATTAATTTAGTCAGCCTGTTTTGACTGATTTGCAAAAAGAAAGGGGGGGGGATTCGTTACTAGGTATCATAGCGGCGGGAGGAACAGATCCGGAATTTTCTCTGGTCAATTATTCCCGGTAAGAAAAAGCCTGTAAAACACTTGAATTCAATCAACTCTCAATAGTAACACTTCTACATACATACATATTTACAACTGCACAGCGCTTGATTCATTTTAGACAACTTGGAGAGAACACACTTGAGAAATAGAGAGAAAACAAAAACACAATTCAGTTACAAGACAAACAATATTGGTGATTAACTTCATTAGTGGCACAATCTTTAAAGCGTTAGTAGGTCGGGTCGTTCTAGAAACCATCGGAAAACTTCATTATTTTGAGTCACGACTTCAATTGCTCCAAATTTGCAATAAACAACATAGCCAACTGGAAGTTGGAAAAGAGTAATGAATGCAAAGAAACAAAAAAGCTCAACTTTTAAATCTTAAAGAAAAAAATACATGCCCATTAAGCTTCTTGAATTTCCTGAACAATAGATAAATTTTTTATTCCGCTGGGAAATCTGACCTTCCCAAACTAGAAGTCGATCACGTTTTTCGGGACCTTATACTTTTACTGTTCGATAGTGGAGTTTGCCTTCCTTTTAACAAAGGAAATGAACTGAATTTAAAAATAAAAATCAAAAGTCAAACCGCGAAAAATCAAAACTTAGCGCCAACAAATTTCCTGAAAAAAAATCACTATGACCTATATGAAAGTACTCACTACGTTCATTACGCTTAAAAATGAAATTTGGTATAAGCTTTTTATCTAGCAACCATTTTGACAGATGGGTTCAGAATAAGGAGCAAATTTGATAAATTTCAAGCACGCAATTCATTTCAAAATGATATTTAAAAAAAAAACTCATCAAATTATGTTAGCCTGGAGTTCAAATTCATTGTTTAGTAGGGGGCATCTTTGACCAAATGTGAAAAATACCGAGTCCTTTTCATTTTGGCGTACCGTGCCGGTTCCTTGGACAATCCCAAGCTTCCAATTCCAACAAAAGTTGGTGTGCTTTTCGTAAACGTTTTATTCATCTTCGGCTTTTCATCACTCAGAGGCGAACTGGCAAAAAAATTTGGTATAATTGCAGTGTTTCGACAATGAGGTGCAGCTTTCTGAGGGCTGTTTGTACTGACTTCTTCTTGTAAATTTTCAATTGCTGTCAAAGTGGCTACCTTCGATTCCGATGAGTCTAAAGATACATCAGGAATTATCAAATATGCAAAATGACCTGTCTTTTCCCAAAAAAAACCCCACCCTCCTGACAATATAAGTTAAAATTATTCTTACCTTCACTCCCTACGGTTTCGTCCTTTTGGTCACGGTTGTTGACCTTGACCTCATGGACAGTTTTGGATGCAACGTCAATTGCCTCTGTCGTTTCTTTCGTACTAGGACTACTTTGACCAGACTGAGTGCTACTGCTATCATCATTGTTACTTTGAGTCGTGCAGCTACTTCCACTGTGTAATGTATTGGCTGGGGATGCCGAAATAGATATCGATTGGGTGACGTCAGTCGCTAGTTCAGTAGTCACCGAAGACGAGTACTGCCGCCAGTTTGATCTTTCATTTGTTGTGCATTTGTGGTCTTCTGTTGTAACTCCATTCGAAGCAACGCCTATATTAACAAATAAGACCAGTTCTACCCGAATTCATGACACTAGCTTAGTACCAAAGCTTCCTCAAAAACTAAAATACAGTTAACTGGACAGTTGCTCCAATCAAACAAGTTTCCTATTAATCGAATGATACTAAGTTTCACTGCATTTGCTCTACTTATATCATCTACGATTTTTTCTTAATTAAAGCACGCCTTTCATAAATCTATAGACTTTTCCCCCACACCTTACACGAGCATCATTTTTCTGGTATATCGAGGTGTTTTACAAGCTTAAATATGTTTGTGATAGCCTAATTAGTCTGCATGTCAATTTTCATAAAAATCCGACAATGTGAACAGTAATTTCAATTATAAAAATTTGCAGGTGGGGAAAAGGAAAAATAGCTAAGATATATTTAACGAACCTCGACTGGAGGTTGTGCTCCTCAGAGGAGGCGACTTGCTCCTTTGAGGCATAGGAACTACTCTAGTAGTCAGTCGACTAACTGACACATCTACACCAGCAGAGCTAGTTTGAGTCGAGTCTCTTTTCAGCTCGGTAGTATTCGAGCTTATTTCCTGTTCCTCCTTTTGGTCGTTTTCCTCCTGTTCCAAGGTTTGCTCGGGTTCACCTTCATTAGTGCAAGCTTTGATAGTTGTTTCTGTCTGCTGCTCGACATTTCGGTCTATATTCGAATCACCAGACCGATTTAAGCTGACCAGCGATCTAGAATATAAGAAGACTCATCATATCCAGATAAGACGAGCTAAGATCATAAAAGCCTGACAAAAATGCTCATTGCGAAATATTTAGTACTACAAATTGTATATTCAACATAACAAGACACAAATCTGCGCGCAATAGAGTTAAATCACAAAATGATATGGGGAACGCAGCCGGTTAAACATCTTTTTTTTCCTGCGCTTTATCAAGATGATTTCACGATTGTAAAAAAAAGCATTCGTCAACAACAAAAATAACTAACTGATCTAACCTATATTTGCTAATGAGGGAAGTGCTTAATTCTGTAGAGAATGCTGGCAGCTGAGACCTCGACAACTTCGGACTGTTACACGGACTCTGGACATCAGAGATCGAATGAATTGACTTCGATAAATGCGTTTGTTTTTCTATCTTGTCATTATCAGATGGCTTGACTTCTAAACAGGTAGAAAAAAGATGCGAAATAATTAATGACAAAAAATGTGAAAATTTCTGCCATTTTGGCACAAATAACAAAAAATTATTCACTCTGGACAAACTTGAATTTTATTTTCGGTAACTCAAAACTTGACATTTTTCTTTTAACAAAAAATGTAGTTTAAAAAAATATTCAATCCTTACCTAAACGACAAAATGAAGAAATCTTCCGTCTATCCAAACTTTCTACGACACATGATATGCTTCCGTCGTCCGATAACTTACAATCGTTCAAGTGTAATTCGAAGCTGTTCACGCCGCTTTGAACCTGACATAAGCGGTGATCATCTTTGATACAAATTTCGTTCATCAACCAAGACACTGATTTTATATCTTCACTATTAACTTCATCACTTAAGCTGACTTTAAGTATAACCTCTTCTCCTTCAAATGCGATTGTATCTTTCAAGATGGTTGAAAACTTCATAAGAGGTTCCTGCTCAGTAGCATTATTATCCTTCAATGATAGCTCATTCACATTTTCCATAACATTTAACAGAATGTCATCTTGCGTTTTTGTTGTTTTGATATTTAAAAGTGTATGTTTAGTTGAACTCTGCTCTTGCGAGACTCCAACTTGAATTGGGGGAAAAGAGTCCGCTGATTCGCCCAGTGCCGTTACTGCTCTGACAGTGACAGAAAACTGTTGCTTGTTCACATCCAGACCCTGAATGACCGCGTTTGTTTTCGCGGCTGAAACCACGCCTCTCGGGACCCCGTCGACTACCAACTTATAACTTAGCACTGACACTTGAGGGTAACCGAGATTCTCCAAAGGGCTTCCCATTGTCCCTGTGTTGGGTTCCGGGTGTTTCCAGGAAATTAGAAGGGACGAGTTGTCTTTGATCTTCACTCGGACGTTGGTGGGAGCGTTAACTGCAGTTGGCGACAGGAGGGCAGAAGCAGAAAGGAGGTCAACCTTAATATAAAGTATATGATTTCAATCTAGTATTTATTTATAACCGAGTCGTGCGTAACCGAATCGTTTCGATCTCTATTTTAAATACAATTTTTAAAAAATCATGCCGCTTTCATTGACTTAGTTTTTAAATTATATATCTAGTCGTTTAAACTAAATCTGAAAATTCAGTCAACAATTTGATGCCAACCTGTTCTGATTCTGTGAATGTATCATCATGCACACTCCCTGTACCTTCCTCAACGCCATTTCCATTTTCCTCGTCCGGCTGGGTCAAATGATCATCCAAACCCCAATGACTCAGATCCTCTTCAGTGAGCGACATTACTCTCAGCGAACTAGTTGAAGTGTCATTTGCCTCAGTCATCTGAGAATCTCCGTTTCCAGACGTGAACTGACATGACATTCTAGAAAACTCATCACGCAGTGCATTTAATGTATCTTTTAATGCAGGCTCCACGTTTCGGTTTTTTCTCCCATTGGTGTTATCAGCGTCCAGTTGTAGTGTTGAGGTTTCATTCAATGTTTGTTTATTACTCTGAGTCGCAACACTTTTCTGTGAAATGATCTTCGAGAAAAGTTGGAGAGTGATAGCTTGAAAACTCCTGCTATTGTTAATTTCTTCGGTTAAATGTCGGACTTGAATTCGCAAACTTGCTAAATTTTTGGTCAATCTTATTGTAGTCCAATTCGATTTTCGGTAAAGGTACCCGCGCCAGTTAGCTTGAATGATAACCGCAGCTTCAGTAAGTAGAGCTAATAAAGCGTTATCGGATGGTAAATGAAGTCGACCTGAAGTACTATTAGCGTTTCTAATACGATTGCCAAACTGTATTTGCACAGGGCTTTGGCATTCATTTGATATTCGTACCTCGCTTCGATTCGGTTTAACGCGCATATCTCTAGATGAACGAACTTGTCGGTTGCTTGATTCTTTGTTATTGTGTGTTACTAAGTCCGATACTATACTTGATGTTTGCTTCTGTTGATTTGCAGGTGTAGGCGATGCTCGTATGATAGATATGACGTCATTGGGAGAAGTGTGAGCTGGAGCTGGGACAGGAGGGAGGTCTGGCCCGGGCATTAACTCCGAAAATGACACTTCGTCTAAAAAAGAACCATGGTTGCTGATTACCCTACCCAAGTGAGGACTGCATTCGGAAACTATTCGATCTTCTGGCAAAACTTCTATTTCGGATAATGTCAATGACAAGGGGTACCGAAAAGAGAATGATTTTGAAACAATCTATAAAACAATCTCTTTTATTGTTTTATAGATTGTTTCAAAATCAAAGAGTTTCCTTACGTACCTAGATTGGATGTGGCAGCAAGCGTAGTCTGTCTCGAGTTTCTCACATTCGATTCAATCTCTGCCAATGGGATAGCGGGCGGACTTTGAGCTGGTAGGAGAAAACTGGATGACACCAGTAGAGATGAGCCAGCAGATAATCCAGCGTCACTCAAGTCCAGTTCCTCCTCGATTTCCTCGTCATCTACATGACTGAGAAATTGTCTTGACTGTGAAGAATGGCCGTGATTGGCAGGTAATCCTGGTCGATGAGTAGTTGAAGATTGAATATTGCTTGAGGGTTGTACTGAACTTGCTTCAGCATCGTTTCTTTTTGGTGTGCCTAAGACAGAACAAGACAATTTCGCTCAAGAAAAAAAGCTATGTAAGCCTTTTTTTCAACTGCTAGCAGCTCAGTATTCTAGATAGCAACTGCAACAAATAGTTAGATAACAATCCGCCAGTCGTTGATACTCTATTAGAACACCATGAACAAACACATTAGTGCGCCAAGCTCGTTTTTATAGCAAAGCACATATTTGTGGTTTCAGGTGTCTGGATTCTCCTCCACACACACACGCACACCCGCACACAAACACTCACGCACACAAACACGCACACACACAAACACACACATCATCTTTTGCGAGTGTAAGAGACTTTTTTCAGTTATTTCCACAAATTAATGATGACCACACAAAATGCCGGCAACATATTTTGGTCATTGGATTCCTGTGACAAGCGTTTATTGACCATTGATGTGGATTCCGTAACATATCGCTGGACTCCACAATTTTGTCAGTAGATTCTGTAGTTAGTTTTTCCTTTTGTCGCCGGATTCCACTGTTAGTCAGTAGATTCCGCAGTCAATTTGTTAATTTTTTGACAGGCTTCCACAAAATTGATTATTGAACTACAGAAAAAAATGCTGAAAAAGAGCAAATCGATTGCGGAATCAACTGAACAACAGTGAAATCCGGCGACATTTCGCTTCAATTTGCTCCAACTGCCAAAATGCATTTACCTGCGGAATCGAAAACAAGCATGCACTTTGCCACTGAATTTCAAATTTTTGCTCGCTAGCCAAAACTCAGATTTAGCATTTAGTGCTTAAGCATTTGTCTTGGATTCTATCAGATTCCGACTTGAAATTTTTTTTCGATATGTTGTGGAATTCAAGGGGCAATGTATGCCGAAACCAAACCATTACCCGAAGTAATCAATGAAAAAATTAAAAATTATTGATAAACAATAGACGGTGTCCCAAAGTAGGATACAAACTCAAGATGCGAATAAAGTGACAAGACAGATAAAATTTTGCAAATACATTCAGTATAACAAGATACATATTTCTCGCGCCACTTGCAATTCGGTTACTGGAAAAGATAAATAGCTTTCCTTTAATAAATTAATTTATATCGATTTCAAACAAATATCCAAAGCGGAGCTTCGCACCACAGCCGATACTACACAAACATAGATACTACGCAAATAAGCTAGCGAACAGAAAACGAGACGAAGTCAGCAAGTAGAAAAAAAACATGAGAAAAAAACGTAGATAGAATCTATGTCCGATTTGAAGGAATTTTCGAAAAAAAGCGGAAATTTATGAATCTGTAATTAAGACACCAACTGAGCCGAAAACAAAACTGTTGTCATACAAATTTCGAGCTATGAAGTTTTGAAATTCCCCCTCACTCTCGAGAAACACAAAGCATAAAAATTGATTTTTCTTTCAAGCAACGCAATATTAGGTGATAAAGCCAATATGATATAAGCCGACACCATTTAAAGCAATTAAACTTTTTAAAAACATTGATAAAAATTACTAAATCAGGGCTGGTAAGTTTGAAAACACAGAGACGAAGCTGAGCTTCGCACCACTTGCGATACAAAATTAAGCGCCAAAAGTACAAAAAAAATAATGAGTTTCAAACGGAAAAAGAAAAACCTGAATGAGTTTCGAAGAAATCTTAGGCTAACAAATCAAGAAAATTTCACTCAACAATTAAAGAAATCAATTACCTGAAACAAAAGAAGGACTCGGGCTTATATCCATTCAGTTCTTTCTCAAAACCAAACTGTTCATTGAATCTTGCAGCCAAACAATTTGCATATCCAACAGGAACAATCGGGGATAAAAAAGGCCCTAAAAGCTACTTGCTATTGTATCAGATCAAAATGAACAAAAAATGTAAAACTTCAAAAAAATTATAGCAAAATTACAAACAATTGCCCCGAAAAAGAGCATATAAAAATCTGAAAATAACTCTCAAAGCCTAGAAAAATAACCCAATTACATCAGACTTATCCAATTTGAAAGTTATACGCAACGGTAAGAGAGCTAGCTGGCTCACAGCAAAAAAAAAACGACATTAAAAAGGCGCCAGTAAAGGAAATAAAAAACAAAATGTCATTTTTTTTTCAAAAATCTCAGCTATACGTTATACTCCTGGATTCCGTGCACCACTTGCCGCCACATTCTTTTGTAATTTCCAACACTTGCCACAGTCCAACACTTGCCGCCACATTCCTTTTTAATGTTTTCATTACTTGTATGAAAATTTTACTGTTATAAGACTTATTTTATAATTTTTTAATATGTTAATATGGCTACACGAGTAAAATTGCTACGTAATGCACGACGAACAAATGTTCAGATTGCTTGAAAAATTCATTGTGCTTGACAATGTTAGAGCTGTTTTTCAAAAACGAAAGGCGGAGCTTCGAATATTAGCAACTCGAAAAAAACCACATATACTGGAAACAAGTTCTGCATCCAGTGAGTTTATTCTAACAGCACCGAATTACAGGGTTGGCAATTTTCAAATTTAAAAAAAACCATTATCTTTTGTGAAGCTTTTTATATATAATTTCTTTGAAAAAATTAAAACTGACATAAAAAACGTCACATCTCGGAAACTAAAAGAAACTGAGCAGTCGCATTTGGAGGCAAGATTCGCAACCCCCGAGAGTACTCTGACAGCCCCCAACTACAGGTTTGAGAAATTCAAAATTTAAAAAATAATAATATCAAGTTTTCTGAAAACTACAAGGATTTGAGCAGTCATACTTGGAGGCAAAATTCGCAACGAGTACACTGACAAAGCTTTAGAGATAAGAACTTCAAATTTTGTGGAATTTTTTATATCTAAGTTTTTTGAACAATTTAAAAAAAAACAGAACGAAACATATCTCGGTGCAAAACATATCTTGGTGCATTTGTGCAGTCGCATTTGCACGCAAGATTTGCAACAGAGAACTCCTAAGAGTACCATAATGGTATCCAATTAAAAAATTGAGAAATCCAAATTAAGAAGAAATCATAAAGTACGTTATATCTCGAAAACTACAAAGACTTGAGCAGTCACATTTGGGGCAATACTCGCAATCCTTGAGAGTACTGTGAGGGCACCCAATTACAGGGTTGGGAAATTCAAATTTGTATATTATTTTTTAATTTGAATTTTCTGAAAACTTTTGAAAAAATCACAAAAATCGTCGTATCTCGTACACTTAAAGGATTTGGGCATTCATATTTGGAGGCCAAATTTGCAACCTGGGAAACCCGGACAGCATCCCACTATTGGTCTGCTTATATTCGGTTAAATGAACACTGAATTCAAACTGGAAAATCGCAAAAAGTTCTTAGCCATTGCAATATACGATGCAGCTCAAACATGAAAAAATCCTTTCGTTAAACATGCAAAAATAATACGTTGAAAAAGCTTAAACATGGCGAGATAGTGAAGCCCGCATTTAAATATATAATAGATGGATAGATCGATATTACTCGACAATTTTTCGTCCATGCAAAATCAGGTTAAAACGTTTAAGCACAGAAGCTATGCTGCGCTTCGCCAACAAAAGCAAGAAAACGACAAAATCAGCTCAAACAAAAAAAATAAGAAAGGTATAAATAAGTCTCGAACTTTTAGAACTTTTGAAATGTGTGGGATTGAAGCTGTGACCTCGAGGTTTGGAGTCTCACGTTCTCGCAACTTCGCCACGGTCCATTTAAACTCCCGTAACACTAGACACGAAAAAAAACAGCTACAGATACTGATAAATTGCAAACGCTGTGCAGTAAAAAACAACCAAATATAAATGAAACAAATGCTAAGTGCGCATCGAACCTCGTACTTCTGGAATAGGAGTCTCAAGTCCTTCCATCTGTACCACGATGGCTTGCAAACGCGTCTAACACTAGCCACCAAGTAAGTAACAAAGAGATACCATGAAAATTCCAATGCTACAGATCGTAGTTATAGCAAAAGTACCTCCAAATGAGCACTTTTATTTGCGACTTAGGTTGGAAAAAAATTTGAGTCTACGCGTAGTCTAATACTATTAGACTACGCTCGCATTTGTAAAAAACTAACAACAACCATAAGACAAAGTTCCTCCCAACTCTTAGTGGTCGGAACAAAAATAAGCGAGCAAATATTCCCTAACGGTTGAGCATACCTTCCTGTTGACGCTTTAGGCTTTCGTCATTCCGCACAGGAGCTCTTTTTGCAAAGGGAGCCACAGTTAAAGTGGAGAACTCGTCCAGCGAATTCTGTGTCGCGTCCACTCTCCTATCCCCGTTTATAGCCACTGCACTTTCAGATACCCTGTAAACACCTCGGTCTCCACCTCCCATTTCGGCCCTAGAGAAGGCAATGGTGTCGATTTGTATAAAAGTAAATAAATAAATAAACACATAAATAAATCATAAACAAAGAAATGAATAAATAAAATATATGCCCTGAAAAGCTTCAATCAATTTTAACTCAAACCACTTAAATATATCAAGCCCGATTTTAATTTATTGAATGAGAAAAAAAACCGAACGTGAAAAATGAAATTTGTGCGTCTAAAAACATACAAAACAATTTAAAGTTATCATCGACCATGTTCAAAACAAAATAACAAACCTGGTGCTGAAACTGTTCATCTTATTTAATAAGGGAAATTCTACCTTGATGTATTGGACGAAGCAGTGTTGCTGTGTAATTGTTTCTGGTACTTCAGCTGTTTGTTCAGCACTCTCGACAATCTGATGTCTTCGCTGTTCTCTTCTGGTTCCGACTGTGGATCAGAACTGTTCAGGGGACAGTGAGTTTTCAGATAATCAATTAACGTGTTCATTTCTCCCGGTCGGAACTTTCGACCCTTTCCTAAATATCATTAGCTACACATTGGCCATTTCAAAAAATTTGCTCTGAATAATTAAACTTCAAACAAATTTTATTATTTTTTCCAGGTTCTGGTCATGAAGCTGCACATACGCAGTGCAATCTTCAATTATTTTAAATCATTTTTCCGTTGGTTGGATTAACCAGAACTGATAGAGACCACTATCAAAAGTTAGTATCGCGAAGAAAACCAACCTTGTGTGTAGAGCCATTCAGCTTTTAAGCTCTCTCTGTGCGTAACTGGTGACGAATCTAACATGCTCAAATTCAGACACCAATTTAGGATATAAGGTCTATAGTCCAGTTTATTCAGACAAAACTCAACACAGGGGTTCTTGTGAACAGTCAATTGTTCCAATTTTGGCAAACATGACAAGTAGCAGAAATGGCAGAGGTCTGAGACTTCGTTTTCGGCTAGGGAGAGTGTCGTTATGCTCATAGGCAAGCATTGAGGCGCTGTTGAGAGAGAATTTATTAAGTTACCCTGCAACATCAAAGTTTTGAGTCGGGTCAACGATTTCACGTCTGCACTAAGCGCCGTCAAGTTATTATGAGACAGGTCCAGATAAGTTAAATTCGTGTTATGACTCACCCCGTCCAGTGACTTGATGTTATTATTGCTCAAATTCAGCCAAACCAGATTTTTCAATTGGTTCAGTCCTTCTATAACTGCAATGCTGTTATGAGGAACATTCAAAACTTTCAAATTTATGAGCGTTGACAGACCTACTAATCTAACTAATCTATTGGACGCCACTGATAATTGCTCTAACGTATTGGCAAGAATTTCAAGGTTCTCAATTTTGATGATCTGGTTTTTGTCCAGCATCACTTTTTTCACAACTCCGTTCGCGGCATCATCAGGCAGTAAAATTTTTCTCAAATTTTGATTGGTCAGATTGAGAACACTTAAAGCGCCATTGGTAGATGTTGCTGCGCTTCGTTCGTGCGAGCTGTCGGGAACTGTAGACGAAGAAACATCCATAGTTAATGAAGATTCGCTTATTATAATTGTATAACTAAACTAAGGCATGCATCACAAGCGTTACAGATATCTATGAATATACTGATAGACAAAGGCAGTAGGATGAAAGATGCAGAGACATGAGTTCTGAAAAGAGAAAAACAGGCATCAACCTAGTGCAAAGTTCAGCATTGCAATAAATATGAAACCATAGAATTATTCGACTCTGGAGGCACAAATGATCTATGGAAGCGTTTAAGGAAAACTAACTATCGTCTCTTCACATTTGTACCCGAATAAATGTACATTTAGACAGAAACATAGCCAATCCAAGATTGCAACAGAGTAATGAACGCAAGTAAACAAAAAAAACACTGACTTGGTTGAAAAAATCTCAACTTTCGAATTTCAAAAAAAATATAGATACCCTTTAAGCTCTTTGAATTTCTAGAACGATTTATGATTGGCACTTTTTTGATAACATTAAGCCAACTTGAGAAAACTGGATCAACAAAGTTCTTATTCCGGTAGAAATCTAAAAATTAAATTCCACTTTCGAAACTAGAAATCGTTCACGAATTTTTGCGCCATTTGCACCTTCATTTTTGGAGAGTGCTATTTACGTCACTCTCAGCAGATTGATTTCAATTGAACTCAAAAAGTGCATAGAAACTTAGTGCATCAATATTTTGAGACTTTTTCCTTAGAAAAAAAAATCAGCATGACCTATATGAGTCTTTACTACGATCATTACTCTTAAAAATACTCAAACAAAACACCAAAACCTTCTTCTCAATAGTCAGCAAGTTTGGGATAATTAAGAAAAATGTCAAGAATTATACGGGAAACAAATATAAATTTCGTTTAATTGTATGAAGGTAGAAATTTCAACGGTAAAAATGTAAACACACTGCTTTCTTCTAAGAAATTTAAAGTAGCATCATAGGTACTCCACCCTGGCAAAAAATTTTGCGATGGACTATGTGATCAAAATATTTTCCTGGTGATTCAACCAAGGAAGAACATTTTTAAACAGAGACGAAGTTGCCAATCGCATACACAAGCAAAAATGTGACCGATAACGCTACTGGAAAAACTGAATGCGTTAAACTTTGAGACTACAAAATTTTTTAAATGACGCACGCCAATTATGAGTCTACATAGTTGCTAAGTGACGCAAGCCAAATATGACGCATTAGCAGTGCCAGTCAATTTGAAAAAAAAAGAAATTTAACAACTAAAATGCCTCAATTTATTGAGTGGACGCATTTTAACTAGTATACGAATAAGTTCATTTAAAACATCTGACCCTTCCCCGTTTCAAACCCTCTGATTTTGTTGCGGGTCTCCTTCCCAAACAACCTCTACGCTACAGATGCTTAATACCTTGAAGCTCAACTGCTATTTTTAATATAATAGTCTGCGTTAATATCCTTAGCATTGGCTGTACTTAATAGCTGGTAATTGATCAAAATGAACACATTTTGTCGCAACAAAATTTGCGACTTGGGTTGGAAAAAAGAGAGTTCATACTATAACACAAGCTTTGCTTGTGTAAAAATAATTATATACACATAATCGAGCCTTTTTTCAAAAATTTGTACAAAGAAAAAAAACTAATTCTAAGCTTTATTCTAATGCTGATCCACATCTAAATTCCAGAATTCAACACCAAAAACTAGCGTTTTCAAGGCTCCGAAAGGTGCGACAACTTTAACTCCAACAATAATTGTTACTTGCTGATAGTATAAACTTAGAATGGTTCATCGTCATATACAGGTATATTCCTCTTCTTTGTTCTGTCGATTTCTTCTGCTGTCTGCTTAATTGGCTTCACAGCTGCACTGATTCTGGACCAGTCGTGTTTCAAATCCTGTGCTTTGTCCATGTGTCGTTGTTTCTTGGCGTAATACACTCGCAGTATCGTGTTTTGCAAACTCGCAAGTATAACAAGTTCCTCCCCCACTATCTCTTCTGTGAGCTGGAGCCCGTCTAGTTTTTCTATCGCAACTTCGGCTGCTTGCACTGAAGAGAACGTAACGAAACAACGGGTAGCTGAAAAAAAAAACTACTATATTGAAAGAGATAATGATTAGATGGATGAATTGTAATTAGTTTATTTACAGCCAGGGTCGTGTTCAAGGGGAGGGGGACCACCCTTATCACTACCCAAAAGGCCTTCGCTTTGGTAATACTTTATGAAGCCCATTTTGAGCCAGCCTAAAATTTCTAAAACTTTCTCAAGGCGCCAATATATATTTCAGAAAGTGGAGCGCGCGCGTCAAAACACGCATTTTTTGGTCAAAACATTCCAAAAATTGCCTAAAAACAGCCTTTTTGGCTTTTGCAAAAAACGATTTTTACCGTGTTTAGAGAAATTGGAAATTGATATGATTAACCTGAAAAAATCTGTAAAATAAGTTTAAAACCATTTTTTGATAATTTGCAGGCAACGGTGGGTTATTTTCTACAGATCTTACGTGCAAACTATGACATGGACTGGGTTTTCCACACAAGGGGATGACCGGTATGACAAAGAACTAGAGATACTGATTGATTTGTTGTTGTTTTAAAACGTATTTCAGGCTATTGATACCTAAATTTTGGTAATCTTGTGGCCTGATTTCTGTCTTTTGCCGAATAAAACGGCAGACAAAAAACAACAAGAAACATAGCCGACAGACAGTTGGAAAAAAGTCAATGAACGCAAGAAAGCAGAAAAAAACGGATTTGTTTTTTTGAACACCTTTCGAATTTCAATGATAAAAATATAGAGGGTCTTAAAGAGCTTTGAATTTCTAAAACAATTTATGATTGATATTTTTCGGTAAAATAAACCCAATTCAGAAAATTAAAATCTTATTTCTAAACTAACTTATAAAGGAATCAAAAGTCAAAGTGCGAAAAAGTAAATTTGAGCCTGAACAAATTTTAAGACTTTTCCAGAAATTAATTTAATTTAACAAAGAAGCGAAGCGGAGCCTCGCTTCACTTGCCATGCAACTAACAAAGTAAAACATTAGTCGTAGAAAAAAAACAGAGCCAAAAATGTTTAAAAACAACTAGATCTACCAACATTTATTTATTTTTGTATGTCTCGATAAACGTTCACTCTAGGTAAACATGCCAGTAATTTAAAAAAAAAATTAGCGACGGTACAAAACTTACGAAGAGAAAACAAAGCCGACAATCTTTGAGCAGACATAAGTTGAGCCGAAAAAAGGTTTACAAAAAACAACAATGAACAACACCAGCACTTGCAACTACTATGAAAGTTGCTAACATCACCAGAAAAAATCAAAGATGTGGCCAATAAGCCTACAATCTTTGAGCAGAAACCAGTTGAATCGAAAAAAAAGTTTAATTTTTTTTAACCTTTCAAGTACCTCCCTGAAAAACTACAGTGAAAGTCGCTTACAGCACAAAAAAATAGGGATGAGGCCATTAAAAGACCAATTTAACCGAAAAAAAAAGAAGATTTTTATTTAAAAAAAAACTGAAATAATTTAAGTCCCTCCCTGAAACCAGAACGAACAACACTTGCACTTGCAAAGAATGTTGCTGACAGCACAATCGAAATGCGTGATGTGGCAATTTAGCCGACAAAATTTGAGCAGACAAACGAAAGTCCGACAACTGAATTTTTACCGAGAAAAAAATTCAATTGCATACAATTGCAAAAAAACAAGGTCCGGCCGAGACTCGACCCCAGACTTTAAGGAAGGAACCTGAAAAAGAGAAGGAGTGAATAGAACGGCCATGCACGGAAGAAGTGAATAGAACGGCCAGGCTATCTGATTCAATTGATTTTGTTAAACTAGTTAACCCGAAAAAAGTCTTCATTATCCCGCTTGCGATTAGCAAGCGTTATTCCCATTTGGTAACGCTTGCTAATTGCAAGCGTAAAATTTATTTGGCAGAAAATCAATTATGACATTAAATTCACGCTAAAACCTGAGGTAAGCACCGAAGCGGACAACCTGAAAAGTACTGCTATAACTTAACTTAGACTGCCCTTTGACATTTCAAACAACGATATAAAATATGATTGAATAAAAGTACAGCAAAAAATTGCTTTTTCCACACCTGCAAGGAATAAACTTGAGTTACAAAAACAACGAAAACAGTCAACTAGCGACTAAAAAGACTCATTTCAATTATGTCTAGTTTAATTTTTAGCATCAAAAACGTCATCCACTGGCTATAAATTAGTAAAAGAAACGAAAACCAGCAAACTACTGCACTTAGGCAGTTAAAAGAAATGGTAATTCGGAACAGATTTGAAAAATACAGTCTACGAGTTGATCATCAAACACTAAAATAGTCTTCTTAAAACTATGAACGTAAATCTGAATGGCAATATCATTTTTTAATCAGTCCAAATGTAGCAGTCCATTTCGAAATGACAGATTATAAAAGTTTGTCCCACGATTACGTAAGGATTTGAGTGTAACCTCATTGTTGGTACATTTTGTTTAAGACTACCTAGTCTGATGAACCCAGTATTGTATTTGTGATTCGGTTTTGTAACGTATTCATGAAAAATTGAAGTCAATTTGTCCAGACTTTTGAGAGCAAATTTGCAGCTTCGCAAAAACGAGCGATAAACCGGCAAAAACTCAGGAGCTTCAAAAAGTACTAAATTCGAATTTTGCATGTAATAATTCGGAATGTAATAAACTAAAGGCAACCACGCTACCTTTGAAAGTTCCAGCAAAAAAAAACGAAAAAAAATCATGACCTATATAAGAGTCTGAACCACGTTCATCGACTCTTCAAAACCAGAAAACTTTAATTTTTTAAATTTTTTTGTAGGAACGGGCTACTCTTGATAATGTAAGCAATTTACGGTCCGATGTCAATTTATGAGTAAACTAATAATAGCGAGAAAAAAGTATTTGCTTCTTGTCATCTTCCAATTTGCAGAATGTTTTGAACTTACACTTGTCTGCAGTGACATCGATTACTTCGCCGTATGGTACACACAGTTTCCTTGCAAGTGTCTTAGTCATTCCTAAATTCTTGATGAAGATCGTGTTTCCCTTCTGGCTGAACGGTTTATCGTTTGCAGTCTCAATATTTTGCAGCTCAGCTGAATCTAAAATCAACCAAGACAAAAATTAGACATATCAAGCAGAAAAACTGTTTAACAACAACTAGCGTGTAACGCACCTTCGAGGCTTCGAATTATTGAGAACCCTGTAAAAACCGCACATACTGGAAAAAAGATCTTCATCCTTTGACTGTACTCTGACAGCACCCGATTATAGGGTTGGTAATTTCAAATTTTGTAAAATGTTTTTTTTTTATTCAAACGAAGTTTTTTTAATTCAAACGTTGAAAAACGATAAAGTCTTTACATCTTAGTTCATTTTCAAATGACATGAAAAAACATCACATCTCAAAAACTAAAAAAAACTGAGCCAGCACATTTAGACCCAAAATTTGTAACTCCTGAGAGTACTCTCACAGTACCCAACTACAGCGTTAGGTTTTCTAATTTTTTTTTGAAAATCCACAAAGAATGTCGTATCTCAAAAACTACAAAGATTTGAGCAATCAAGTTTGGAGGCAAAATTCGCAACCCCTGAAAGTACTGCGACTAACTACAGAGTTGAGAATTTCAAACTTTGAAAAAAAAATATTTAAGTTTTCTGAAAACTTTTTTGAAAGAATCACAATAAACCTCATATCTCAAAAACTACAAGAATTTGAGCAGTCATATTTCGAGACAAAATTTGCAACTCCTGGGAAACCCCTGACAGAGCCTCACTATAGAGATGGGAACTTCAAATTTTCAGAAATTTTTTATATCTAAGTTCTTTGAACAACTTTAAAAAAAGACATAACAAACGCCACATCTCGGAAACTAAGAGCGTTTAAGCAGTCGCAATTTGACGAAAGATTTGCAGCTTAGAGCTCCTGAGAGTACACTTACAGTACCCAACAATAAGCTTAGGAGTTTCAAATCTTTTGAATTTAATAATCTCAAGTTCAAGTTTGCTGAAAAAATTGAAAAATTCATCTCGAAAACCAGAAGGATCTGAGCAGTCATACTTGAACGCAAGATTTGCAACCATTTAAGATACCCTGACAGCAAGCCACTATTTGGGTTAGTTTTCTTATATCTAAATTTGTGAAAATCATAAAACAGGTCATATCTCGAGAACTACACGGTTTTAAGCCTTCATATTTGGAAGCAAGAATTGCAACCCTTGAGAGTACTCAGACAGCGCCCAATTGCAGGGTTGAGATTTTCAGATTTTGTGAATTACTTTGTAGTTTGGGTTTTCTGAATTTTTGAAAAACCACGTAAATTGTCGTATCTCGTACACTATAAGGATTTGGGCATTCATAATTGGGAGTCAAATTCGCAACGTGGGAAACCCTGACAGCATCCCACTATTGGTCTGCTTATAATCGGTTAAATGAATACTGAATTCAAACTGGAAAATCGCAAAAAGTTCTTAGCCATTGCAATATACGATATAGCTGAAACGTGAAAAAATTCTTTCGTTAAACATGCAGAAATAATACGTTGAAAAAGCTTAAACATGGTGAGATAGTGAAGCCCGCATTAAAATATATAATAGATTTGTGAACTACTTTTTAGCTTGGGTTTTCTGAAAAATGTTTAAAAACCACATAAATTGTCGTATCTCGTACACTAAAAGGATTTGGGCATTCATAATTGGGAGTCCAATTCGCAACCCCTGGAGAACCCTGATAACATTCCACTATTAATTTTCGTTAAACTTCTTTCGTTACACATACAAAAATAATGCGTTGAAAAAGCCTAAACGTGCCGAAATGGTGAAGCCTGCATTTAAATATGTAATAGATTGCAATAATTTGAAATTTGAAGTTTTTTTATTCCTTAATTTCTTGCATGCCTTAATAATTTGAACCTTAATTTTGACAACTTTTATTGTATTCGTGTTGGTACTCGCCAGGTAAAGACAAGGCTGATTATGAGAAAATTCAGCAGATATAACAAAAGCAAAAACCCTTTAAGCTGAAACATTTTGAGAGAAAACAAAAAAGAATTAAGACAGGAATTATACAAAATCAGAGCGAAATGCTAATTAATAACTAATACAGCGTTACAGTTCTTGTAGAATTAAATTCTAGTAGAATTAAATTTTGGAGGTCGGCGCGAGGTAGTCGAAATATGCCGAAAAAATTCATTCGGCCGAAGCCACAAGTCTATTTGGGTTAAAGAATTTGTGTTCTTGGAAAAATTAAAAAGGTGTGCGAAGAGTTTGGAGGGAGAGAGACGTTTGGTTCTATTTAGGAAGATAAATGAACGTTAATTGGGAAAGAATTCTTCTTGTGCAGCATGGGAGTGATTCTTCAAAGGGAGAGATATCAGGGGTTTTGAAAAACCAACCCTAACCCATAGTTGCTTTCCATCATTCGAGTGTTGGAAATCATAATGTATATAAATTACAAAATGAAATTTTTGAACAAAGTTTTACGGGGAGAAAAATCTATTACGGGTTACAAAAGCTTTGCTAGTCGTAACTTTAAATATAGTTTTTGGAGAACGCTATATGGCCGATTCGGTTGATACCACATTTTAATGTTAATGTTTCAAAACTACCAATTGCTTTTGATCCACTACGCTGTTATACGTGCCTGGGTCTTTAAATTTGGTGTCTGTTCGCTGTTGCAATGGTTTGAAAGTAGTGGTTGGTTTCGGAGGACAGTCATCGTCCTCCAGATTCTTTCCCTTCACAAACTCCATTTTGGGCCTCTTCGAGCTGAACTTCTGTTTCGTAGCAGTCTTAGGGGTCAACGACACGTTCTAAAATGAACATCGACCGATTTTCAGAACTGAAAATTGCCATGGTATTGACGACTAGCAATTTCGAAAGTCCGGATATTAAAATCAAAACATAGTCACTTTTTCAATAGCTGTTACTACACTATATCGCCAAAAAGGCTCATAGACCTAAATTTCACGTTTTTTTTCTCAAAAAACTGGAACTTGACGAAAAAGATCAGATTCATTTTTACCGAGAAGTGAACTAATAACCAACAGCAGCACCTTTCGACTTGATTACAAAATTTACTCTCGTACGGATAGATTTATACAGTTTTTCACAAAATCAGAAGAGATGGATTTTCTAGCGTTTTCGATGATTTCTAAGTTTTCTTTGGTTTGGGTCAATCCAGTCATTCGTTTCTTCATCAAAGCCCACACATTCTCTATGATGTTTAGATCAGCGCTGTATGGGGGCCATTCGATGGTCTGAATATGACTTTCGGCCAAATAATCTCTTATGATTTCTGCTCTATGAACAGGGCAATTGTCTTTCATAAGCTTCCAGCCAAATTTTGCATAATCCTTGATCAAATTTTGGCCAAGTACGTCCCTATAAGCTTTAGCGTTGTATGGCAGAGGACAATTTACTAATCCAAAACTACCGTCAGGTGTAATGAACCCCCAATACATAAAAGAAAAACGGCAAGAATTCTTCAAAACAGTACTACGGCTTATAACGCTCACCACGTTGACGCCAAACTCGAATACGACCATCTGTGTTCAAGGCAAATCGGATTTCGTCTGAGAAAATAACTGCATAAAAGTTGCATTTCTTCTTCCGAAAAGCAATGTTCTTCTTGCCCAAATTTAGTTTCAGAGCCGCGGAACTGCTTGAAAAACCATGTTTTTTCAAAATACGTCTGACCGTAATTGCTGAGATGGTTTTCCTACTGGAACAAACAAAATTCGACTTTAGTAACTTGATAGATCGTTTTCTGTCTTTTTTTCTTTAGATTTCTGACCAAGAAATTGTCTTCTTTTCCTTCAATTTTTGATTTTCTTCCACATTTAGAAAGCCCAGAGAAGGTAGAGTTTTTAAGATCAGCTTTGTAAACACTGTACGCAGTTTGTCGGTTTACCTTCAGCGTATTGGCTATTTTTCCGAAGGTCCAAGCTTGTTGTAAGCGAACAATTTCAAACTTAGTTTCTAAACTCAACGTGTTTCTGAATTAACTGAATAAAACGCACAAAAACGTGAAAACATTTCACATCAAAATTTACGGGCCTCACTTTTTTGTTCAATTCCTAAACAGGACTAATAATATTTTGGTGACAACTAATCTAAAAAACAGTTTTTCAACAGACACTTTTAAGAAAAAAAAGCCTGTATGAGTATTTTTGGCGAGATAGTGTAAGTACGTATACCTTGGTTCAAAAAAAGTGGCCGCTGAAATAATAGATTTTTCTAAGCATTGAGCAAACAAAATAATATAAGAAAATATGAGTCTGTTGCGTCTTTGTCTTGCCTATTCAGTCCCAGTCCATTTCTCCACAAATTTTCCTTCGTTTTCAAGACACTGGCCCAAACGCGTCGGGATAGAACCCATCAAATTTTTTCTTACCGCTGGCAAAATTACATGTTGAGATTCTTGAACATACTGAATTAGTTCGTCTTTTGTTTTCGGATTTTTCTTCTCAATAAAGGATTTAAGCATCATCCACACATTTTCCACTGGATTAATGTCTGGAGAATTGGGTGGCCACTGCAAAAATTGTACCGAATTTTCGGCAAAAAAATCTTTAGTTTGTCGGGAAGTATGGGGTGTGGCGCCGTCCTGCTCTAGTATCCAGCCATCGGGAAATAATGCAGTGGCGTAAGGAATAAAGTCACCAACAATTTCGCAGTACTTGGAACTATCAATTGTACCTCTTTCGATGATTTTCATGTAAAAACCTTTACTCGATATTGCTCCCCAGACCATAATTTTGGGTGAAAACTTCGGGAAACCTTTTCGCGGCGTTTTTCGATAAGAACTCCAAAGCTTGATTTTATTCCGATGAAGTTGGAACATGCACTCGTCAGAAAGCCAGGTTTCTCCGAAATTGAAGTTCTTCCATGTTCTGCAAAATTCGATTCTTTTTTGCTCATGGACCGGTGTGATATTCGGGATGATTTTTGCAGTCTTTTTCTGCACGCCGGACGATTTCAGAGCTCGGAAAACTGTGGATTTACTGACGGATGTCCTAGCTAACTCGTTATAACGATCACAGACATTTTGAGTTGATGCCGACGGAGATTTAAGCGCAATTTGACATAAGCGTTTTTTCTCATTGCCAGAAATTTGGAGAGGTCGGCCGCTTCCTTTCTTTCTTTCCAAGGTTCCCTTTTCTTCCAAGATTTTCATGTTACGTCGGAAACTACGCGGTGGCATTTTCACCAGTTTCGACAGATATTCACGTTGTTTGGAGTCGTTGACATAGAGAAATTCAAGTAAATCGCGTTTCGCTTGCATTTCAAAATTTTGTGTTGAAGAATGATGTGTAGCATTTTCATTAGCTAAGTACCTGTCAATTGATTCACACGGCGACAAAGTCTGTTCAACTTCTTTCTTTTTTATTTTTGCCACATTTTGCCAAAATTTGCCGCTTTCGAGCTATACGCATTTTTCAAAAATATTGCCGCGGCCATTTTTTTTGAACCAAGGTATACAAACTCAACGTCAGCTTTCATCCATCTATGCGATAGTGTAATAAAAATAGCCAACAGGAATAATCAACAAGGAAACCAAAAAAACTACTGATTTTTCAGATCTTTTTAAACAAATCTGGATATCAAGAAAAAAATAACGCAAAACTACTACTTAAACTCAAAAAACAGCACAGAGGCGATCCAACACAAACATAAGAAAAAAACAAAAAAAGTCGTAAGAAACGTCAAAAATGTTTTAAAAAAACTAGGTCTACCAACACTTACTTTTTTGCATGTCTCGATAAACGTTCATTCTAGGCAAACATCCCAGACAATTGAATATTAAATTTGCAACCAAACAAATGTAGGAAGAGGAAACAAAGCGACAATCTTTGATCAGACAAGTTGAGCCGGAAAAAAGACTTGATAAAAAAAGTTTCAAGTCCCCCTGAAACTACATAGAACAATACTTGCACCTGCAACTACAATGAAAGTTGCTCCCAGCACCAGCAAAATCCGTGATCTGGCAACTAAGCCAAAAATTGAGAAAACAAACAAAAGTCCGACAACCCAATTTTTACTGGAAAAAAATTTCAATTGAATACATACTGGAAAACGAGTTCCGGCCGGGACTTGAAACCCTGACCTTAGAGTAAAAAGTGACAGCGTTAATTCTAGGCCAAGCGAGAACGAACCTGCAAGTTGTAAGCTTCAATAAAAAAGGAAGTAAGAAAAACAAGTAAGATTTCTAAGAAAAGTTGTTTACGGGAAAAAAGTCTAGTTCCCGATTGAAAGACATTTGCTCTCGCAAGTGTAATTATCATTGACATTTCTATTGATTTCTCTAGCTTTCTCAAAGTGAGATAATTTTACTGAGAAAGTTGGATCAACCAATAACTTCATCAGGTTGGGAACTTTGAAATCTACTTGGTGAATTCAAAGTTCTTTAAGAGCACAGTTTCTCAACAATTTAGCAATAATATTGAAGTAATCTTAGAAGAATTCAAAACTAGAGCTAAAAAAGATGAAATGAGCATGAAATGTTTGTCATTTATCATTTTTGCGGACTATTGTCTACTTTTGCAGCTTTTCAGGCGTTTATCGGATTAATTGAGCAATCCCACTGGCTAATATGAAGCGCTATGATCGATCTGAAAACTCAGATGAATTTTCCTACACAGAAGCAAAGTGGACCAAAAAAACTGAAATGCTAATGAGCCATCAAATTATAACAGTCAGAAAAAATCGAGAAGATACTGTGAAAATTTTTTTTTTTATCAAAAATTTTGAGGCAAATTTTTGCTGTTTATCATATTTAAAAAAATTGAAAACAACCAAAATAGCGTTTCAATTAAGTCAACTAAACACAGAAAATTTTCCAATGAGACGCTGTGCAATTAAATTAAGGAAACAGTAATTAAATTATTGAAAAAAAGGCGAGCACTAAAGCCGACAAATTTGGTCGAAAAAAATTTTACAGTTAAAAAATCTTCAATTTAACAGCTGTTGAAGTTCGCATTCAGAAAGCGTTCAATCTTCCAATAATAAAAACCAAATAAGCAATGTAGTTAGCTGGTAGAAATATCGGAAACTCGGAAATATCTTGGAAATCACCAGGAAACATCATTAACATTATTTCAAAAACAATTTTTTTAGGTCGACCAAATTGAATTTCTGAGCTCTCCCAAAGCTCTATAAAGACCAACAGGCCAAAAAAAGGCGTTTTAGGCATTTTTTCAGACCAAAAAACTGTTTTTTTCGACGCGCGCTCCTCCCTCAAAGTTTAGGATCCGTCATCCAAAAATGGATATCTCAAAATAGTACAAAGGGGGACGCTTTGGGTCGGCAGGGGGTCGAATCCCTGAAAAAAGGCGTACGCCCCCCATCCACTAATTCCGCCCCTGCATGTACTGCATGCATATGGCATGAAATCTGTAAACAAAGTTCTTTACGGGAAAAAAGTCTTGTACCCGGTAGCAACACACTTGCTAATTATACAACAAATCACGCATTATGGCTCATTGTATTAGCAGCTGTGTTTTCTATGGTCGATCTCGCCAAAGTATTCAAAAATAAAGGACGAAATAACAGTAGACAAATTCAAAAACAGAATTATCTGCCAAACAACTGGTTATTTAGGTTAAACGCTCTATCAAGAACTAGAGAAATCGGACAGCCAAACCAATCTGTTTGCTCCGATCAACAACGGTGAAAAAGGAACGTTGTATTCGGCTTAGTATCTTGGTCATGTCTACTAGCTTGAGTACCGTGCATTGTTAAAGTACAAATATCTACATACTTGATTAGAATTTAACAACAGAGGTGAAGTTGAACTTCGCAAAAAGCAGTATAAAACAGGCGAAGCTGAACTTCGCATACACAAGCAAAAAATAGTAGATATAGCATTATGCAGAATGGTCTAAGAGCACGAAAACTTAAAAATAATAACTTTTATTGATTTATACGGGCAAACTGATAAAAAAAATTGAACAGAATCGTCAATAATACTAAACTGAATAAATTGAGCATGAAATAAAAAATTTCATTAATTTCAGTTTGCAAATTTTTTACAAGAAAATCTCAATTAAATTATTCAAATTATGCATAAAATACTAGTTTCTTTAGTTATTGACAATTCTAATACTTAATTTACCAAATAGCTAATGAAAATTGTTATATTTCTGTTTTTCTGCTCTTGGACGAATTCTGCTCTTGAGCCATTCTGCTTGCCGTGCCACCCAACAATATGGTCGATAACGCTACTGAGAAAAACTGGTGGCGTCCCTCAGGCTTGAAATTTATTTTGGCTTAATTTCAGCCAATCAGAATTGAGTATTCAAAAACCTCAGCGAAATCACAAAAATCTCAGCAAACAAAACTAGGCAGGCCACTCGTGCGTGTCAATATGGACCGATTATATAACAAGCAGATGAATGAAATTAAAGCCGGATCGAACGCGGATTGGAACAATTTTAATATTTCTGGGATACCGATTTACGAAAAAAGGAAAAACAAAAAACTAAATTTATTATACCTGCATCAAGTATGATTATTATATTATGATTTTCTGTTAATATTGACTTCGATTTTGAGAGAAAGGCATTTAGCCAATAGAAACAGCTAGCGATTTTGATTGGTTGAAATTTTTCCAGAATTCGGTCCCTCCAGCATGAGAACCCTCGACGGAAAAACTGAATGAGTAAAACTTCGAGTCTACAAAATTTCTTAAATGACGCACGACAATTATGAGTCTACACAATTGCGAAGTGACACAAGCCAATTATGACGCATTAGCAGTACCAGTCATTTTGAAAAAAAAGAAATTTACCAATTAAGTATATAATTTAGTTGGAGAGCGCAACTGAACTTTTAGTAGATGAAATTAAACTGAAATCGTACATAGATGCCTAGAATCATTCATAAATGCATTATTACGTATGAATTCACGTCTGTAAAAAACTAAAGCATTTTTGGCCTTTTCCTGAAAAAGAAAATACAAAAAATCCATCACGACCTATAGAAGTGTCTGAACTACGTATACCGACTCTTAAGATGGAAAAGAACAAAACCTTGAAACTCCTTAAGCTTTTCAGCAAAATCAATGCTTTGGAAAGTAAGCCGACCAAAAATAAGACAACTGATAGTAAGCAACAGGCGCTTTTCCCAGAAAAAATCAAACTCCAAATAAAAAAAACTAAGTCCAGCCAGGACTCGAACCCTGGACGTTAGGCACACAATGAACGCACTTTACCAAAAAAAAACCAAAAAAAGAAAGGCTTGGAAGTAACTGCCGTTTCAGAATTCAGCAAGGTTAGATTGCTGCAATGGTAAATACTTAAACTACTATGTCTTATTATGTACAAACTCTACAGAATTACGTAATAACAGCACCAACCAAAAACCTAGTTTGGAAAAATGCGTGTTTTTCTTTAACTTCGGAAACAAAAGTATTGTGATTGCTCGCGTTGATTTGAAAATGATGAGCTTAAGTAATATAGACACCTGAGTTTACCGAAAACTGTTTAGCATTTCTAAATATCAATATTCAAACTCCATTACCTCCTCAGCCACGTCTTGTTTGAGCAAGGATCCGACAGCTTCTTCATTCTCCTGACTTTTCTCTGTCTGTTCCTTCAGATACTCTTTCAGCTCATCTTCTGGGGTCTTCAGGGCCCTCGCAGTCCGCTTGAACCCCCCTGTACGACTACCACTTCCTTTGGCCGTGATCAACTGACCACTGGCAGCCAATTTCTGAAGCAGATTGTAAGATTACTGAAAAAATCAAAACCATCTACGGCCGATTTAACAGCAAACTCGAAACATAGTTGATGCTACTGATTTGAACGATAAACTAAGCAACCCGAGAAAATAATACAACTCTTGAAATAAAATAAAGAAAAACTAACTTCTCTTTTACTACACAGATAATGACTGCTTAAAACTTTAAACTTCACATCGAGTAAGCTCCATTTCCAGAAAAATCATCAATATAACATTTATCAATAAAAACGCTTTTCACGAATTGATAGCAAAATAGTTAATTTTCAGTTTGAATAATTGCACGTTAAAAAAATTTTTTAAAAAAGAAAACAATAAGCCTTTAATATCAAGAATATCTGAGTCTTAAGTCGGAAAGCGAGTCACTACTGTACTTATCGAAATTGCTTAACCCTTTTCTTTCAAGAACGAAGAGATCAAATGCGATGTATAAAAAAGTTAACATAAATTGTCGAACTAATAATCCGAAAAAGTTTCCTAGCTGCCATGAATTGGCGAAGGGCTTAAGATAGCGATGCCGGAGGCTTAAGATAGCATTAAAGGGGATTTGATTGAAACACTGTTTCCTATTGCTTTGTGGATCCATTGTCAAAATGCTGTGTGTGGTCTAGCCCGAACCACAAATGCAGTTGAAGGGTGGCATCTAGGTGTAACCGCTTTGTTTCAAGGTAGCCATACTTCAATATTTACGTTTCTTGAAAAAATTCAACTGGATTCCTTAAACCAAAAATTCAAAATTTTGAAGGCATCCAGCGGTGCTATCAACTTATCCCGGAAAAAGTACCGTGATCTGAATGAAAAAGTTCAACAGATAACTAGTTCATACACAGACTCTAACTTATTGTCTTATATCCGTTCACTTGCCCATTTAACCTATTAAATTTTGTTTTAGTTTTTGCCTAATTTCTCCCAAATTTAAATTTGTTTGATCAACTTTTTTTATTGACGTCTCCTTGCACCCGCCGAAACGCAATACTAGGACTCGCATTCGAAATTGATGTCTCTAGCAAATTGATCCCAGAGCAATTGCCCTTAATTACGGGACGCTAGGTTGGGGGTAGGGGCCTGATGGCCATTTGAGCATTGCACTTAGCAAAAAAAAGTTGATCAAAGTTGATAATTGATATTTTTATCAAATAGAATGGCAAGTGATTCGTAATGAAAATGATTTCGAAGCTTTAGAATTTTGCAAAAAAAAACTCCATTTCCATTTTGTACCGACTTGAGTTGTCTTGAAAATCAGGCCATTTTTGTCAAAGTTGGTTTTGATTAATTGGAAACCCTTTTCAAGTTCATTTGTAGTCTAAGCTGTTTTGAAGTTTGAGTTTCAATTTGAAGGCCAAGTGATTAGCAAGGTCATTTATGTTAGAAATTTGTGCAGCAAAATTTTTGCCGTTTCTTTGATTTTAACCGACGCTTTGTTTTTGCTTTGATCGATTAACCGCTTTATTTTCAATTCTCAGATTCTTTGTTTTTATACTATGGTATCTTATGTCGTGGGTAATTTTAGAACGAGGCATCTTTTGGAATGGTATCTTATTGACTGGGATCTTCTCGTTTGGGATCTTAAGGTAAGGGATCTTTTGTCATGTAACCAAGATAGCTGGCTCATTTTAATCGAGCATCTGGATCCACCAATTTGGACAAATGAATTTCCAAAATTGGTAAAGTGTCGATGTAGTAACATAATGAAATAGTTTTTTGATGTGGATAGTGTTTATTATGGTCATATATTTTTATCCCAAATGATTGCTAAGGTATTTAACCAACTAAGTGAGAATTTGCGGTTCCGGCCATATGAAAACTGGTAACAACTGGAAACAAGAAATTGTTTGCATCTCAAAAAAAATTCCACTCATCAACTAGGTCCTTGAGCAATATGCATAAATTTATGCCTATGCTTACCTTGGCGATCTCTGTAGCTTCACTTGGAGTCTCGCAAGCAGCCAGCTTCTGGTTGGATCTCTTTTGCTGTTCCTGCATGAGTCTGTACTTGGCCTGTAGTTCTTCCAGCTCCTTCTTTCTCTTCTCCAGCAGAGCGTGCTTGGCCATCAACATACTCTCCTCTGGAGACAATTCATTCTGACTCACTCCGCCCATCGCGCCACGTCAGTCATGCCAGCAGGTCATTACACTCAACTGAAGGAAGTTCTAATTTTCTGACATTTATTGCCTGAATTTTCAATCGTAACTTTACTCATGAGTAAGATTGGTTAACATATATTTCAATACACCTATGGTTTTCTTCAGAAAAAAAATTCGAGCCTATCAAACATAATTCGATTGCTCTCAAACTGGTCATACTTGATACTATATAATAAAACTTCTGCTGACATGTTCACCAAACCAGAGCCAATAGACACATGTCAATAAAAACATCGTTACGGCTCTTTGAACTTCAAGAATCTCCTATAATACACAATTTTTTCATAAGACCATCACAATTAAAGAAACCTGGTTCAATGGGTTATCTGTCTTCCGCCGAGAAAATTCAAAAAAAACCCAATTTCGAAGGTTTTTACGCTATTTGTACTTACGTAATTAGAGAGCGCAATTTGCCTTTCGTTGAGAAAATTATTTCGAATCGAACTTCAAACGAAAGTCAAGCCCCGAAAAACCAAACTACAGCGTGAACTATTTATACGAAAAAAAATGCAACCTAAATATGTGCCTGCATTTACTGACGTTCACTGCAGCTTAAAAATCAGCAAGAAGAACGTCATAACAAAAAACAATCTATAAGTGCACTAGAAATTCTCTTTCTCACTCATTCCTAGATCTATTTTGGTCTGAAAAACGGGGAAATTCAAACAAATTTATATGTGATGAGCTTTTAGATGCTACCTAATTGCGGCACCTAAAATCTGGCAGAAAACCACCCTGCGCCATAGTTAATACCGTCACTTCCTGATATGGTCGGAGCAAAAATGAAGTTTGTTCCGATATGAACTTTAAGGTAGCTTTGAAGGAAGGTGATTCAAAATTGGCAGTCAAGTCAAGCGAATTTGGCAAAGGAACTTTCGTTCGCTACTTGCCATTGCCGCATTTGAAACTCACCAATGCCGAGCTTGAAAACGAGGATGAACATGTCCATTTGCGATGCTAATCGTCTCCCATGCAAATCGCTACATCCTCGTGTATTTTTTGTCAAGACGAAGTTTCGAAAAACTTGTGATCGTTCCTTTCCAAATCAATTTCTATTTGAGCAAAAATTAACTTAAAATACTTGCAGAACATCATCATGAGAACATCAATGTCAAAGAAAGCGACAGAAAACTCAACCATCTTCGTACTGTTTTCTAATAGAAATAGAACAACTTGTCTGCTATTAGAAATTAAGGTACAACAGTACCGCTCGTACATCAGGGCATCAGCCCTGAATGTTCAGAATGCCCTCTGTCTTCGATCACAAATTTATTTATTAAAAACTCTTATAAAAACTGCGTAAAATGAAAATTTTTAGATTAGGTGTTTTTTTAATTTTCATTTCTTAATTTGTATACCGCCACAAGCTGTGTAAATTACCAATAGATATATTTAGCGCATGGTAGCATAATAAGAGAAAATTGCTAGCCTCAGTTCAAATTTAAGGACTTAATCTCTTACACAGAGGCGAAGCTGAGCTCCGCTTTGCACCACTTGCGGTGATACAACAATCAAACAAGGCACTATTCTGTGAGTTTAGCATCAGAAGAAAACTTACCAAGCGGAAACAAAGCTGAAAACACTTTAGCAGAAACCCTTTAAGCCGAAAAAAACTCGACGAGACTTAAGACTTACAAAAAGTTAACAAGTCCCCTTCACCCTCAGCGCACACACAAAAAGCGCCACTAAGCCGATATAATAAAGGCCGAAACCAATTAAGACAAAAAAGGAAAATCCAAAAAGCCGGAAAGACTCAAAAATTTGAGAATAAAATATTATCAAGTCCGTCTCAACCTCACAACACACAAACTTTTTTCTCTGGTCAACAGACGCAATATGAGCCCATTAAGCCGATATAATATAGACCAAAACCAATTAAGGCGAAAAAAGAAAGAACAAAAATGCCATAAAAAACTGTTGCCATGAAAAACGTGAACTATAATTTCTATTTAAATTTAAGCAAAATATGCGATCCAGATAGAAGCAAAGAAACTAATTTTCACTTGAAACGACTCAAAAACAGGTCACAAAGCCGAAATCATTTGGACAGAAAAAAAATTAAGAAAAAAAGAAGAAAATACAAGATTTACAAACAGCAGAAGTAAAGCAAAACACTAAAAGCAACTACAATGTGAATTGCACATAGCAAGAAAAACAATACTAAGACGTGGCAAGTAGGCAGACAAAACATAAGCCGGCAATTCTTTTTGAAACGGAATATTCCCCGTGTAAAAAAACAGGTCCCGGCCAGATTCGAAACCGGGACCTTTGCGGTACCAAGCAAATTTGTTACCTCCAGGCTAAGTGGGCCGGAAACGCAAAGAATTTGAAGAGGGCCGGGAACGCTCGGAAGATATCTCTAAGGACGAATCTAGAAGTACTCAAGAGGGTAATCAATAACTTTTAGATGCTAAAAACGAAATTCCGTCGAAAATGCTTAGGTAAAAAGTTGGCGAAAATTGAAGATTCCCTCACAGAGAGTCGAGTATCTTCGCGCTCAAAAACCAACAACAGCAAAAAAAAACATAGCCAATTGAAGATTGGAAAAGAGTAGTGAACGCATGTAAACATAAAAAACATACTTTAAACTCTTTAAGATTCTAGAACAATTAATGATTGGCGCCTTTTTGATAATATGAACCCAACTAGAGAAAACTGTATCAAAAGGTAATGTTTTTATTCCGCTGAAAATCTAAAAAATTAATTCCACTTTCGAAACTAGAAATCGTTCACGTTTTTTCGCGCCTTTCCACATTCGTATTTGGAGAATGCTATTTACGTCACTTTCAGCAGTTGAATTTCAATTGAACTCAAAAAGAGCATACATACCTTAGTCCATTCATAAATGCATCAATATGCATGAATGCACATCTGTAATTATTAGAGACTTTTAAGTCTTTTCCAGAAAAAAAAAACAAAAAAATCAGCAAGAACTACATAAGAGTCTTCACTACGTTCTTTACTCTTAATAACAAACTTCAGACGTTTCAAAATCAAAAAAATATATAGTCAGCGCACAATTTGAAATGTTATTTCACCTCAAGGTTTAAAACACAAGTCAACCGGAATTGAACCTTCTTATTCAAACGCTTGTTATAATCTGCCAAAAAAGATATTCTGGCAGATTATAATAAAACAAAATTGGTTGCTTTGGTGAACACGATCAAACTCTTGAAACTCAATCCAAGGAAAAAGATCCCGTTATACCCTGCAGCGTCTTCAAACTTGACGTTTTGAAAACAAATAACCTCTCCTCAAATTACCATTAAGTCATACAAATCAATGCTTTGGAACAAAAAAATAACAAATCCAACTCAACTTATAATCGCAATGGTTGAAAAATGTTATTGATTTGTCGTTTGAAACGAGTATAATTCCCATTTCTTTGTCCACAAAGAAAGGCGTATCAAATTTCAATCAAACTAATTCTCATCCAATATCCTTTCTCATGGTAGTTAAATCTTTGATCGTGTTAAGTACAAAAGGGTATAAGAGTGCCTGGAATTTTATTCCTTAATTTATGCACACTATTCTGATTCGACAAAAAACATAGTGCTGCTGATGCAATTGCTTATGTAACCAAAAAAAAAACGTCTGTATCACAACAAGTTAAAACAAGAAACATTTATCTTTATTTCAAGAAGAGATTGGACACTTGATCATCATATTTTGTTCCATATTGCAGAAATCTATGGAATACAAGGCCAAACATTACACAGAGGCGAAGCTGAACTTCGCATCACTAGCAATGCAAAAAATTGGGGAAAATTTTTTCCAAAAAAATGTCGAAAAAATATATTTATTAAAATGAATAAGACTAACTTTGAAACAAAAACAAAAAACATATCAATACATGAGAAATAAGCATCGGGAGCAAATTGTCACCAACGCTTGAGATAGTTTATTTGAACTTACCTTGACAAACTGCTTTCATTTTTACTTAAAAATGAAAAATTTAACTGGAAAAGAAGCTTCTTCAAGCAAACATCGTAGTATTTACATTGATTATTTACATTGAGCTATCTTTGAAAATTCATGTTAATTTTCCGCATAGCAAAGTCAGAATACAATGCGGGATAATTTCAAAAAGGGGAAATATTTTCCGAAACTGGTACAATACATATAGAGCAGTATTGATGGTCTCAGTATAATAGCCAAATACTGAGTCCATTTTGCAACACCGTGTTACGCGTATGAAGGCACCATTAATACGAAAATGATGCTTCTTCTAATGAAACAAAAAAAAATACTTCAAACGAAAGTACAATAGCATTCATTCATAATTTATACTGAGAATTTAACATGTTCATAAGCTTCATGCTCATGAACTATTGAAGTTTGTTATAAGATCACTTGCGCGACTACATTGCAAACTTTTTAAAATAATTATTTTATGATAATTCCATTAACATGTCACCCAGAAAAAAATTACAGCATTAAACACAGAGGCGAAGTTGCACGTCGCATAAGCAAGCAAAAAGATGACGCAACTGGGAAAAACAGAATGAGTAAAACTTCGAGTCTACAAAACTTCTGAAGTGACGCACGCCATTTATGAGTCTACATAGTTGCTAAGTGACGCAAGCCAATTATGACGCATTAGCGGTGCCAGTCAATTTGAAGAAAAAAAAGAAATCTACCAACTAACATGCCTCAATTGATAGAGCGGACGCAGTTTAACTACTATATGAAAACTTTCATTAAAAACATTCGACCCTGCCCAGGTTCGAACCTTCTTGATCTGTTCCGAGTCTCCTTGCCTACCTCTCCACTACTGATCCATGATACCTTGAAGCTAAAGGGCTTTTTGTAATATAATAGTCTGTGTTAATATCCTTAGCATTGGCTGTACTTAATAGCTGGTTATTGATCAAATTGAACACATTTTGTCGCAACAATATTTGCGACTTAGGTTGGAGAAAAGAGAGTTCATACTATAACACAGGTTTTGCTTGTTTAAAAACCAAATTAAACATAGAGGCGCAGCTGCGCTTCGCAAACACTAGCGAGAACACAAAAAGCAGCTCTATAGTGAGAAATAAGAAAAG